GCTGCTGCGCGCCGAGCTGCGCACCGCGACCCTGCGCGCCTTCTCGAGCCCTGGGGCTGGCTGCATCAGCGAGGGGCGCGCCTACGACACAGATGCGGGCCCCGTGTTCGTCAAGGTCAACCGCAGGGCGCAGGTGAGTGCCCCCACTTCATCCCAACCTCTCCCGGCGGCCCGAGTCCCCCCCCCCACCCGTCGGGGGCCCTGGAGCGGGTGGGGAGAGGGAAAGGAGGGGCGAGGGGGCCCCGGGGCGCAGCGGAGGGGGCGCCGTAGTCCAGTCCAAATGGAGTCCTGGCGTCATCGCCCTGGGTCAGCCTGCGGCCTGGCAGAGCTGTCACCACCAGCGCGAGCAGGCTCGAGCATTTTCTGCTGGGTCCTGGCGTTCCACCTGCTGTAGAGTTAATTTCTGTACTTTTGCCCGTATGCACAGGAGTTTGGTGTCTGTTTTAATTTCTCTAGCAATCAGGCATGGCGGCAGTGAGCCTTGGGGCCCAGCTGGGCTCCATTCCCCAAGGCCTGGGCCTTCTCGCAGTTGGGAAGAGGCAGGAAGGACCCTTGTGGACCCCAAGGGCCAGGCTCCTGCTCACAGGCCAGGCTGTGTTGGACCTGGTTTTCCCGATCTGCCTAAAACATTGCTGTTAGATACACACGGAAAAATAGTAACACTGTACAGAAGGAGAAGTCCATAGTGTGTGCGCCCCAGGTGCTGAGGGTGGCACCCCCTTGGCCCTGGGGGATGACTCCAAGGAGGTCCCTGGGGCTCTGGGGGCCAGGCCCCTTTGAGGTGTGGCAGTGGGGATGCTGGCTGTGGGCCAAAGGGAAACCCAGAGGGACCCCTCCCAGTCCCCCTGCTGCCCACCCGCAACCAGGATGGACAGTGGGTTGGTCTTGGTCCAGCACCCTGCTCATTTAGCACAGAAAACTGTTGAAGATCTGATTTCAGAACCCAAATCCCTCAAAATGATAAGCTCCACCTACTGGGAAGGGGTTTGGGTCAGAGTTTGAGCTGGCCCTGGAACCTCCGCGGCTGGCCCCGATGGCTCGTCCAGGCTGGGATGTCACTGCTGGCCTTGGAACCCGTCAGTGCTGGCTGAGCACACAGTCTGTGCTCAACCAGTGCACAAGAACAGGTGACAGGTGAGGCCCTCAGGACGGAGGCAGCCTGATGCCCAGGTGTTCTCTGCCCTGTACGTTTGGGGGCTCACCCTGGGAATATGGCTAGGGGGGTCACTGGGCGCCTTGCTCCATGGCTCTGGGTGTGGGGGCAGTTGGAAGGACACCTTGCTCGTTCCCTGTCAGGCACTTGAATTAAGGGATGGAATTCTTTTCCTGTGTGGAAATAGGTGCTTCGGTGTTGTTCTAGAGGGTTAATTCTATATCCAGAGGTGCTCACAAATGCACTTTAACACATTTTTAACTGAGATATAGTGTACCGAAGATGAGAGTTGGCCTAATTTAAAACTGGGATATTGGTGCGGATGTTTTAGAAGTAGGAAGACCCCTGGGTCCCAGTGGAGGCTGTTCGGCTGCTCTGGGCAGTGGCTGTCTTCCTCCTGGGTGGCGGGGGGCCTGCTCCCAGCCCGCCCTCCCTGCCCTGTGTGCCCCTAGGCACGTTGCCCTGCCACCCATGCTGCCCCCCATTTTCTGTAAGTGCTCGAGGCAGTGAGGGGGCAGGTAACCTGGGAGGGGAAGCAGGCCCAGCCCCAGCCCTTCCACTAACCCACACTCCTGGCACCCCCAGCACCTCATGGCACCCTGAAGTACGCGACAGTGTCCCCAATACCCCCAGAACGTCACCCATGTTCCCGACACCCCTTGGTGCCCTCATGCTCCCCCAGGGCCTGGACCTCCTCACCTCTCAGAGCTGTGCTTGCTGCAGGGGTGTCAGCACCCCGCCCCCGCAAGTCCAGGTGCAGCCTCAGCCTCGTAGCCCCTCTTCTCCAGAGGGGACACACTGCACCTGCTCTCTGACGGGCTGACGCCCAGTTCCCCAGGCTGTTTTCGGTAACCGGAGGTCCTGGGTGCTTATGGCGGCTTCTGTCCAGGGCTGTGACCCTCAGCCCCTGCTGGAGTTGGAGGTCACAGCTGAGTTCTGGATGCAGGCTCGGCAGATGTTTGAGGGGGAGATGGCGAGCCTGGAGGCTCTTCGCGGCACTGGCCTGGTGCGGGCACCTCGGCCCATCAAGGTGATTGACCTCCCAGGCGGTGGGGCTGCCTTTGTGATGGAATATCTGAAGATGAGGAGCCTGAGCAGGTGAGTGTGTGTGAGAGAGAGAGGGAGAGACCCAAAGAGGGAGAGGGAGCCGCCTGGTGTGGAGCTGCTCCCGAGCCGGTGTGGTTAGCAGAGGCACTGCCCCAGAACCTACAGCCGCCTTCCTGGTGGGGACTGTTGCGGGTGGGGACGGGCACACGCAGTGTCTGTGCGGGACCGTGTGAGGTTAGTTTGGCTCATGAAGCTGCATCAGATAAGTGTGTTTGAATCACCCTCGCCTTGTGCTTCAAGTTCACTCAGGCCAGTCAGTTTGGGCTCTGACATCTCATCTAGCAATTATCTGAAGTCCTTCAAGTTTTTTCTAATTATTAAAGGTATGTATATTCACTGTTTAAAAAATGGTGGAAAACATCAGCTCACATAAAGAGAACTAAAGCCCCCCGAATCGGCAGTGGGGAGCAGCCATCACCAGTGGTGGGTGTGTGACTGGCATCCCACGCCTTATCTTACATGTGATTTACATTTGTTTTGACAAAAATTGGGAGCTGTTTTTTCTTCTTTTACTAACATTGCTTTTTGAGTATTTGTCCCTCAATTCCCAGAACCTACCCTTCTTGGTGATTTTACAGGTTTGTTTTTGGGACAAAGTCACTGCCTGCGGTTCATTTTTCACTTTTTAAAGAAGGGAGAGTAGTTTTTAAGATATTTAAAACATTTCTCAGGACGGAATGTGCTGGCTGGCTGTGTTGTTCTTATTTTAACTGGCTGCGTCTCCTTCCTCAGTCAGGCGTCGAAACTTGGAGAACAGGTGGCGGATCTGCACCTTTACAACCAGAAGCTCGGGGAGAAGTCCAGGGCGGAGGAGAACACAGTGGGTATGTGCGGGTTGCTGGTGTGCCCTTGACCCTTGACCTGCGTGCACCTACCCGGCGGGGGCTTGGGTGACGCTTCAGTGATGGTCAGGTGGGACCCCACCCCTTTATGCTGTGGTATGAAAGTGGGATTGTTAAATAAGAGTTTTGATGGTACGCTGGTAGGGTTGCCTCACGACCCCTTTTATATCCAGCCCCACTGTCCAGTGGGCTGGAGAGAGGTGTGTCCTGGCTGATCCAGGCTGGACCAGTTGCTACCATGTGTAGCATGTCTTTGACCACCCATGTCCCGGCAGTGCAGCCAGGCCCATCTGGACGCCCTGCTGGGGCCTGGCATTCCTGAGGAAGACAGGCAGCCCTTTCTGTTGACAGGCCGGAGGACTGAGGGTGCTGGGCCCCAGTACGTGACCCAGTTTGGCTTCCACACGGTGACGTGCTGTGGCTTCATCACACAGGTGAGTGTCTGGGCGGGAATGCCCCAGTCCTGGTCACCCCACCCCTGTGTAGGATGCAGTGTCAGTACCTGGGGCCCCAGGGGACTAGACTGCCTGACTTCTGAAAGCAGAGTGAGACCTGTGAGGCGTGGGACGGTGGGAGAGTGAGGTAGAGGGTCTGTGAGCTGAGCCTAGAGGAGATGGGAAGCCGCGGGGCAGGTGGGAAAGCATTCCAAGCAGAGGGAACAGCAGGTGCAAAGGCCATATCACTTGGGGCATGTGACGATTGTGGGGGACTGGGGTGGGGGTGGGCGGCCCTAGAGTTTGTGGATTAAGTCCTGGTCGCTCGGCCCCTCTCCCGGGGCCTTTAAAAATGATTAGCACTAATGAGATGTAATTCAGTGACATAAACGTCACTATTTTAAAGTGTACGGTTCAGTGGGTTTTAGCATAGACACAGTGTTGTGCAGCCATCACTGCTGTTTAATTCCAAGCATTTTTGCCACCCCAAGGAGAAACCTCATCCCCATCCCCCTGCCCTCCGTCACTGGCAGCCGCCAATGGCGCTCTGTCTCTAAGGACTTGCTTACTCTGGACATTTCACACGTCAGGGGAGTCACACAATAGATGGCCTTTTGTGCCTCCCGGGCGTGGGCACAGGGCTCTTCTCCTAGGCGGTCACGAGGGGCAAGAACCTTTTGAAGCTGGAGGCAGATTTAGGGATCTCAGCCAAGGGGCATGCTCAAATCTGGGGTCCCTAGGACTGTGCCCAGTGGGGTTACCTGGCTGGTTTAGACTCCATGAGTCTGCTGGAGCCAGCTCCCTGGGGGTGACGTATCTGTTTGGAGCTAGTCACCAGGACAGTAACGTGGTCCCAGGCCAGCATGGCCGAGCATGGCTTGTTGTTCTGCCTCAGAGGTGGAGTTCTAGAGCTGCAGGTCTACATGGACCTTGCTCAGTGGCTTGTCAAGAACTGAGGAATGGACAGTACACAGAACCACGAAGCAGATGAGGATGGGCTGGCCCATCAGGGACACAGGCGGCCCCTGAGTGGAGTGCCTGGTCAGACTCCAGGGTCAGTGAACCAACTCAGCTCAGCTGCAGCCCGGCCAGGGCGGGCGGAGGGGCCTGGGAGGACGCCTGGCCTACCCGCTTTGCGCCGACAAAATGGTCCTGGATATGGCACCTGATGGAGTAGCCTGGACGGATCAGCCCGAAGTGCCAGGTGGCTCCCTGCACCTTGGGAGGGCTGAGTGGGCCCTTGGGGGCTGCCGCCATTAGTGGGGCGGCCCTGAGTGGTGGCCCCCCATGAACTGAGCCCCGTTGAGACCACTGGCTTGGTCAGAGGACGGACACGGTTTGTTCGGTGCTGCACCCCAGGCTCCCTTTTAAGTGCTTTGTCCGACTCACCTCCCCCAGTTGCCACAGCAACCCCAGAGATGGGTTGTCCTTGACCCGTTTTAGAGACGAGGAAAGTGATGTGCCAAGAAGCCAGGTGGTGCCTGGGTCGTGCAGCTGGTCAGCGGAGGGGCCAGGGTTAGCCCATCTGGCTTTGGGGCATAGGCCCTGTCCGCTGCACACCTTGCCCCTCCATCTAGGTGAAGATGGGCTCCGCCCACCAGCTGTGCACGGGGTGACCCTGCCTTTGGCAGCTCTGGGGAAGGTCACGTCTTCCTGTAGGTGAGGGGATCCCGCTTGTCTGTCCAGGTGGAGGGCTGACCCGTGCTGGTCTCCAGCTCCCAACAGTCTGTGTCTTTCATGATGTGGTTGTCCAAGAGGACAGGGCCTGGGCAGGCACAGGGGACAGGAGGGCATGCACCCACATGCCTCAGGCCGTTTGGTGCGGGGCCCTCCTGCCCTCCCTTGAGGTGCACCTAGCACCAAGGAGTGAACCCAGGGGCTCAGGGACCACAACACTCAGCATGGGGGTCTCTGTGCTGAGGACGCTGACCAGGGATGCATGCTCTCCGGTCAGTTCCTCCCCTAGGGAGTTTCACAAAGTCACTCTTCGTATAGGTAAGCTTTGCACCTTTTAAAAAACAAACAAACAACAAAAACAAACAAACAACTGTCTAAAGTATAACCGACACAACATAAGCTGCGCCTACAGTTATGGTTTGGTTAGTTTTGACTTATGTGCACACTTGTGAACCGCTAACCATAGTCACGTCAGTGAGCAAGGCCATCTCCCCCAAAGTATCCTCCTGCCCTTTTGCAAACTCCTCCCCCTGCCCCTGCAACCACTGGCCTGCTTTCTGTCACCACAGATGGGTTTGCACTTTGTGTAATTTAATGTAGGTGAGAGCACATGTTGTCACGCCTCTGTTTGGCTTTCACTCAGCACAATCACTTAGATACTCACCCGTGTTGTTGCATGGATCGAAAGTCCATTCCACCATAAGACAAACCGCAGTCTGTGTATCCATTCACCTGAGGCTGGACATCTGGGGTGTTTCCAGGCTTTGCTTTTATAAATAAAGCTTCTGTGAACCTTCATGTACAAGAGTTTGTGTGGTTGAATGTGTCCATTTATTTCAGGTAAATACCTAAGAGCCAGTGACTAGGCCACATGTAGGTTCATATTTAACTGTTTAAGAAACTGCCAAAGTATCTTCTGAAGTGGTTGTGCCACTTCACATTCACACCGTCAGTGTATGAGAGTTCCAGGTCCTGCATGTCCTCACTACACTTGGCACTTTCCTTGTTCTAAAACTGCAGCCACCTCAGTGGGTGTGAAGTGGCACCTCAGTGAGGTTCTGTTTTCCCTGATGACCACTGATGTGCTGCGTCTATCCATGTGTTGACTTGCCATATATCAGGGGCATGAATGCTTAGGATTATTACGTGATCTTCATCAGCTAACCCCTTTTGCATTGTGAATTGCCTTTCTTTGCACTTGGTGGTATTCTTTGTTTGAAATCTACTTTGACATTAACACAGCTACTCCAGCTTTCTTGTGACTAGTTTAGCATGATTTATCTTCTGTCTCCTTTGAAACTGTTTCTGTTTTTATATACAAAGTGCAGTTCTTACATACAGCTTACAATTGGGTCATGCTTTATGTTTCCCACCTGCTGGTCTCTGTCATTTAACTGGGGTGTTTAGACCATTCGCATTCAATGAGCTTACGGATATGGTTAGGTTTGGATGTGTCGTCTTGCTGTTTCTCGTTTGTCTTATCTGATCCTTGTTCCCTTTTTCCTCTTTATGCTGTCTTTTTTTTCATTTTTTTATTGAGTTACAGTCATTTTACAATGTTGTGTCAAATTCCAGTGGAGAGCACAATATGCTCTCTTTTGAAATAACTGTTTTTAACAATCCCGTCCTGTCTCCCTGTTGGCCGGCAAAGGTATCTGCTGTGCTCTTCTAGTGGCTGCTGTAGGGTTTAGGCAGATTCCACGCGTGACTCTGTCCTGTGACTGCCAGCTGCAGCACCAGCCCCTCCTTTCCCTTGTTGCCCAGGTGAACGAGTGGCAGGACGACTGGCCGACCTTCTTCACCCGTCACCGGCTCCAAGCGCAGCTGGACCTCATTGAGAAGGACTACGCTGACCGAGAGGCAAGAGAACTCTGGTCACAGCTGCAGGTGGGCACAGCAGTTATCCCTGGGGAGAGGGGCTGTCCTCTCATGAGCCCACCACTTTTGTGTGGGGCCCTGTGCTAAAACAGAGCCAGAGTGGGGCCCACTGGAGCAGAGCTGGTGATGTCGTGACATCGTGGACACATGAGTGCCTCACTATCGGTTTGGTGGGGAAACTGGGAAGGGGGTGGGACTTGAGGGCACCTCTCACCTGCTGGGTCACAGGTGCTCAGCCTCACACTTTGCTCACGTGAAATGTAGGTGCTTGGCTTGTAAACGGTGACATTTACTGTTATTTTCTCACTCTTAACACTGTTCTTCCTTCTCTGACAAAGCGCAAATGTCCTCTTAGAGCAGGTGTGGGTGGCAGGTGGCCCCAGAGTGACTGGTTTCAAAACATAGCATAAGCATCAGAGACATTTTCTTTAACTCGTTATTGAAGCCATCAGGATATAAAAGAGGTGCAGATTTACCTGTGCTGTGAGATAAAAGATTAGCAGAGAAAGATTGCTAAATTACGTACAAAAAACTCCCCTCAGGTTACATGGTTCATACTTTACACAATGAAGGTGTAACCTCCGAGGCTGTCCGCTCTGCTGATGGAGGTCATCAGTGTTGGCGAGCTTGTGGACCTAAATTAGCAGTAAACCCCCAGACAAAGTGACATTCCCCGGGAGTCGGAGGGTCCTTAACCTCTGGGCTTGGGTTACAGTGGTGTGGGCCCTGAACAAGCACGAGGTTGTCTCTGCTTTGTTTCCAAGTGCTGGATGAGGAGTCTGGCTCCTGGGCCCAGGGTGACTCTGCATACAGTAATTATTTTCCTAGGTGAAGATCCCGGATCTGTTCTGTGGCCTAGAGATTGTCCCCGCCCTTCTTCATGGGGACCTCTGGTCGGGAAACGTGGCCGAGGACGACAGCGGGCCCATCATTTACGACCCGGCCTCCTTCTATGGCCACTCCGAGTTTGAACTGGCAATCGCCTCAATGTTTGGTGGGTTTCCCAGGTCCTTCTTCACCGCCTACCACCGCAAGATCCCCAGGGCTCCGGGGTTTGACCGGCGGCTGCTGCTCTATAAGCTCTTTAACTACCTGAACCACTGGAACCACTTTGGGTGGCAGTACAGGAGCCCATCCCTGGGCACCATGAGGAAGCTTCTCAAGTAGTGGCCGGCCGGCAGCCCCTGCCCAGCCGCTGAGCAGACGCCGGGGGTGGCTGCGCCGGAGGCCGCTTAAGGGAGAATAAAGCCCTGGGGGTTTCAGGGACAGGCTGTGTGTGTCTCCGTTGCACCTGTGTTTCCGTCCTCCAAGCAGCTGGGTTAATTTACCGGGGCCCAGACCACCTGAAAGGTCTCCGACTGGCTCATTACCTGTCCTAGCCTGGGGCTGGGGTGGGGCGGAACTTGGAGGTTGGATATATTCAGGACTGTTGTACAGAAATTCAGAGATCTGGGCTTTGTTTCAGTGGAAGTTGGTGTCCGGTCCCCCGGTGGACTTGCGGTTCCTCCTTCTGGCTTAGGCCGAGATGGGGACCACCAGACGGGCCCACCTCTTGAGCAGACTCTCTGGGGCTGAGTGGGGCTCCAGGTCCACCTTTCCTGAGGTGGAGGATGGACGGAAAGCCCACCACCGTGTTGTGCTGCAGCCACTGCGCAGCCCCTCTCCCGCGCTCCGTTTTGCAGCCGGTGTTTCCGCTGGATAAAGGTGTGGGCGCTGAGCAGGAGCCTCAGGCAGCGGCTATGCCTGCACCCCAGGGTGGTCGGGTGGTCAGGGTGGTTCCCGGCCGGTGG